TTAAAGAAAAAAATGCATATTTGATGACTGCAGTAAGCTATATAGCCCCAGCTAGGTACTACTTTATAATAGTATGTTCATTCTACTCGCTGAGGTTTATGCCTAAAGTCAAACATGGGTTTATGTATATGTATATATCAGCTGCGCTTGCTATTGCAAATATTTAGACAAATTAGGTTCATTAGCAAATCAACTAAATGGGGGTGAAAGGCATAGAAAACAACCATGGATACCAGAGACAATGTGGGAGGAGGGTGGGACATGGCAGAGGGTGAGGGATAGGGAATCAAGGATGGCAAAAAACAAAAAAAGAAAGGAATATATACAAGACATAAGAAATGGAAAATTATTTGTTGATAACATGTATGCTGATGTGCTTGATTGAGCCAATATACAGTGTATTTTGGATGGAAAATTCATTTTGTATACTGTAATGATGTATAGTGAATTAATGTAAAAAATAAATTTAAAGAAAAAAAAAGAATTATTTAATTTAATTTATTATTATTATTTTAAAATTTCCTGTAGGGCACGTGTGCTCCTTAGAGACAGACAGAGAGAGAGAGAGAAAGAAAGTGAGAAAGCAGGTCGTCAGGTCTGGGATTCAAACCACAGTTGGCCATGTGTGAGTCCAGCATCTTTATCACCACATCACCTGCTGGCCCTGCTATATGTTTCTTTCTTTTTTTTTTTTTTTTTTTTAAGAATTATTTTATTTATTTATTTTTAATTTGACCATACAGAGCGAGAGAGAAAAAGTAAGAAAGCAAGCTGGCAGGTCCAGGACTTGAACTGTGGTCAGCCATGTGAGAGTCCCATGCTGTTAACCACCATGCCACCTGCCAGTGCCCCTCCCCATATTTTGCTTTTTTTTTTTTTTTGGAGAGATTTTCACTGTAGGGCGCGTGCGCTCGCCAGACAGACAGAGAGAGACATAGAGACAGAAAGCGAGAAATCATCCCACAGGGGGGATGGTCACGCCGCAATCCCTTCTCCTCCATTCTCCTCTCAGGATCTTGGGCACGCACACACACGCGCCCGGCGTGAGTTTTAAGCCACCGGGTCCGGGCCTTGAACCGCGGTCGACTACGTGGGAGTCCAGCGACATAGCCATTACGCTAACTGCTGGTTCCCCCCATATATTTCTGAGACTTAATCTGTTTGTTTGCTTTTTTTGGGAAAGACTTCATTTATACTTTAAAATTGTTAGCATATTAATATGAACATACTAATTTATAGTAATATTTATAAATGTTTTATTTACATTTATACCTTCTACACCTTTTGTCTTCTAACTGTAGCTGCCAAGTCCTAAATATCTTTTGGCTGCATTTCTCTCCACTTCGACTGTCATTTCCCTCATTTAAACTACCATTATCTTACTGGAATGGACTGCTACCAGCTTCTTATCATTTGTCTTCTTTTCTCTAACCACTTTTATTTTCTTTCTGTATGTTTCCCAAACTACAGCATGAATGATATCTGAAATGTGAGCGGAGGGCCTGTTCACATTAGGAGTAAAGAGATGGTTCTGAATGAGTCCACAGACACTAATGTCTGCTGTTATTTCTATCCCTATACAGTCTTGTATTCTTAAGGTGGAGACTATAGAAGGATTGCCAGAGAGAGACAGAGAGATGGGAATGGGGCAGTTGGGTGGGGTGGAAGCACCCACCAACGGGATGTTGGTCACATCACAATCCATTTTCTATTTCTACATCTATCGGGATTTTAAATATACACTCACACTCGTGTTTTTCAAGCCTCCAGGGCTGGGATTTGAACCATGGTCAGCCATGTAGGATCTGGGTCCCTTAAATGGTAGGCTCTGAAGCTGGCTTGAGATTCAAGTTTTCAGAATGAAAAAGGCTTCATTCTTTAATTTTGGAAAAAATTTAAACTTAAGCATAATAGTGAATAACACATTCCCATGTATCCATTACCCAAATTCAGGTCTAATTTTGTTTCCTCCAAATCCCACCTTCCCCTCTGCACCAGTTGTTTTGAAATAAGCAGCATTATTTTATTTGTAAATATTTCAATCAAAATTACTTTTTCAAGGGCACAAAATTGGACATGACAGAGTCAGAACTTGAGTGAGTGTCACTATTGTATGCAGAATACAGTCCTTGCTTATAATGCATTATTGAGTTTGATCATCCAGAATGGGTTGGTAAAGTAGAGGCACTGGTGTTCACAAGCTAAAAAAAAAAAAAAAAAAAAGAATAAAATAAAACCAAAAATCCCACCAAAACCCCAATTTAAAAGTTTATTTACTTGTTTTTTTCATGAGATACATGCACATAGGCACCTATGATAGAGCCTACATGGTTCAATCCTTCCCCTAGTCTTGCATTTAGGGAGAATTATAGTGTGCAGGCTCTGTTGAGGTAGACCTGGGGTATAGGCCCAGAGCATTCCTACATGGTTTTTGATATCCTGCAGTAGCAGGATGGGGCTGTGCTGCTGTGACTGGGCCCAAAATCCTAGTTTTAATTTATTGAATAAATCATACTAATGTAACAAAATACTAAAGGAATATTACCCCCAATCTTATTATCTGAAAGTGAAAATTATATTAATTGTAGTGCTACTCTTTTTATTTAGAGAGGTTTTTGCTATAGGGCACATGTGCTCGCCAGAAAGAGAGAGAGAGACAGAAAGCGAGAAATCACCCCCCACCCAGGGGGATGGCCACTCTGCAGTTCCTTCTTCTCCATTCTCCTCTCAGGATCTTGGGCATGTATGAACACGTGCCCTGCGTGAGTTTAAGCCACCGGGTCTGGGACTCAAACCACAGTTGACTACATGGGCGAGTCCAGTGATGTAGCCATTAGGCCATCTGCTGGTCCCCATAGTACTACTCTTAATGTTTCTTGTCTCATCTATCCATGTTAACTTTTTAAAAATAATTATTTATTTAGTTAGTTAATTCATTTTAATTTGACTAGAGGGAGACAGAGAAAGAGAGGGAGGGAAAGTAAGAAAGCAAGCCATAAAGTTGGGTACTGGAACCACAGTTGGCCATGTGGGAGTCTAGAGCCTTAACTGCCATCCTACCTACTGGCTACCATGTGAACATTTTTAATGAAGATCGTTTTACCAAGTACTTACTTTTTCTAGGGTTAATTGTTTCTTGTTTATTGGATGAACAAACCTCACTAGTAGTGTGTACTTTAAAAAGGGTAATTTGCTTGGTAATCAGTCTCTACAGTTTATTCCATTTTTTAAAAAAATTATTTCTTTTTGACTTTATTTATTTACTTTTAATTTGATCAGCAAGGGACAGAGTGAGAGCAAGACAGAGAGAGAGAGGGAAAGTGAGAAAGCAGGTCCAGAACTCAAACCACAGTTGGCCATGTGGGAGTCCAGCATCCCCAACCACCACGCCACCTGCTGGCCTCTTTAGTTTATTCTTTTTTTTTTTTTTTTCCAGAGGTTTTTGCTATAGCGCACGTGTGCTCGCCAGACAGACAGAGACAGAGAGACAGAAACCGAGAAATCACCCCCCAGGGGGGATGGCCATGCTGCAATCCCTTCTCCTCCATTCTCCTCTTGGGTTCTTGGGCTTGCACGCACACGCACCCGGCGTGAGTTTTAAGCTACCGGGTCCGGGATGCGAACCATGGTCAACTATGTAGGAGTCCAGAGACTTAGCCATTACGCTAACTGCTGGTCTCTCTAGTTTATTCTTTAGGGAAGAAGGCTGTTAATACCTGGGGTAAATGTTCAAGTAATAGATTGTTTCCATGATATTAGGAAAATAATAGTCTTCTTTTTTTTTTTTTTGGTTAATTGTGAGAGGGTACATGCACTTATGAGAGAGAGAGAAAGGAAAAAGCACCCTTTTATGGGCATGGTCACTCCACAGTCCCTTGTCTTCCATTTGTCCATCCTATTGGGATTTGAGGAACACATACATAGGCACTTGGCATGTTTTTCAAGCTGCTGGATCCCATACTTGAACCCTGTGGTTGGCCGTGTGGAATCCAGTTTCTTTAACTGTTAGGCTGTGGGACTGGTCCTGAAATTGTCTTTTCTTTTGGGATAATTGTTTACTTGGAAAATAAGCGGAAATTCTTTAAAAGATCCCTGAGGCTTCATAGCTAGAGACATCGACATAGTAAAAAGATTTTTCTTTCTCTGCATTGAACCTAAGTTTCAGATTATGGATCAGAGTAAAGAAAATGCTATTGAAATGTGTTCTTACTATTGAAAAGGGTGGAGAGAGAAAATGATTAGTTATAATTTGTACTGATTAAAGTATTTCAGGTCTGGGGGCCAATAGGTGGCGTGGTGGTTAAGGCATTGGATTCCTACATGGCAGACTGTGGTTTGAATTCCAGATATGATGGCTTAAGGATCACACCAGGCGTGTGTGTGTGCATACCCAAAGTCCCAAGAGGGGAGTGGAGAAGAAGGGATTTTGGTGTGGCCATCCCCCCTGGGGGATGATTTCTCATTTTCCTTCTTTCTGTGTCTCTGGCAGAAAAACATGAAAAAAAAAAAGTTTTTTTTTCAGCTTTGTTATCTTAAAGCTATATCTTGTAAATGGGAAGTGTTATCCCTTGGTTAGTAAAACACTCCATAAAATGTTCTTACTTCTTTTCTTTTTTTTTTTTTTTTGAGGGGTTTTTCGCTTAAGGGAACGGTGGCTTGCCCGCCATATAGGGCACGTGCGCTTGCCAGCCAGACAGAGAGAGACATAGAGACAGCAAAAAATCACCCCCCAGGGGGGATAGTCACGCCGCAATCCCTTCTCCTCCATTTTCCTCTCAGGATCTTGGGCACGCACGCACACGCGCCCAGCGTGAGTTTTAAGCCACCGGGTCCGGGTCGCAAACCGCGATCGACTATGTGGGAGTCCAGTGACATAGCCATTACGCTAACTGCTGGTTCCCCTTACTTATTTTACAGGGAAGAACATTTCCTGGAATATTATAAATAATAATATAAATAATAGATGTGGTTAATCTAAGCATATGTTTTTGTTTTAATAGGCATCAAGCATGATGGAACCATGTGTGATACCTGCCGCCAGCAGCCAATCATTGGCATTCGATGGAAATGTGCGGAGTGTACAAATTATGATCTGTGCACAGTGTGTTACCATGGAGATAAACATCATTTAAGGCATCGCTTTTATAGAATTACTACACCAGGAAGTGAGCGGTAGGGGAAACACTTTTCTCTTCAGGAGTGATCACTTATTTGTACCCAAGTTTCATATTATTTACCCTGAAAAATTGGGTTGGGGATAGCATTTTACAGTTGGTTTAGTATCAGGAGGTAGCAGATAGTAGGTTAGAAGTGGGGCTGTTTTATTGAGGGAAGAGCTCTGTGAAGATGGAGTTGTTCTTTCTCTCCTTGGCACTGCTCAGCACTGGGAAATGCAAGGGAGCCCAAGAGAGGCTGATTATTTTCTTCTCACTATGCCTTCTATTTTGTTAATTGCTACCAGATGAACACTAGGGCCCATTGATTGAGTCAGTGGGTGTTTATGGAGACTACATGGCAACCACTATATCTGTTGATGGTTGAAGATAAGTAAGACATAGTATTCTTTTTTCTTTTTTTTTTAGAGATTTTCACTGTAGGGCGCGTGTGCTCGCCAGACAGACAGAGAGAGACATAGAGACGGAAAGCGAGAAATCACCCCCCAGGGGGGATGGTCACGCCGCAATCCCTTCTCCTCCATTCTCCTCTCGGGATCTTGGGCATGCACGCATACGCGCCCGGCGTGAGTTTTAAGCCACCGGGTCCGGGACACGAACCACGGTCGAATACGTGGGAGTCCAGCGACATAGCCATTACGCTAACTGCTGGTTCCCTCTTTTTTCTTTTTTTAGAGAGAGATTTTTGCTGTAGGGCATGTGTTCTTGCTGGAGAGACAGAGGGAGAGAGACAGAAGGCAAGAAATCACTCCCTGGGGTGATGGCCATCCCACTTCTCTTCCATTCTCCTCTTAGGATTTTGGGCCTGCACAAACACGTGCCTGGTGTGAGTTTTAAGCTGCCGGGTCTGGTACTCAAACCACAAGTCAACTACATGGGAGTCCAGTGATATAATCATTAAGCTATCTGCTGGTCCCAGGACACAGTATTCTTAAGGAGTTTACAAACTAAGGAAATAATGGATCACCAATGGTTATCATGTGATGTTCTGGATTGTGACAGGGATATTTATTAGATATCTTAGGAACAATGAGAGAGGAGTATTAACTGTTAATGGGTGTAGAGTTAGTATGTGATGGAATTGTTTCATGTAGATAATGATAATGCATAGGAACAAGAATCCAGCCAGTCATAGGGAGACATAAGAATAGGAATATAGGGGCTGGCAGTTAGTGTGGTAGTTACAGTGCTGAGCTCCCAAACAGCCAATTTCGGTTCAAGTCCCTGAACCTGGTTGTTTGCTTTCTTACTCCCCCCCCCACCCCCTCTCTGGTGAAATTAAAAAAACCAACCAACCAACCAAACAAAAATTAAATAAATATTCTTAAAACAAAAACATCTTTTAAAAAATAAAGGCATATAGAGACCAGCAGATGGCGTAGCTATTATGTCACTGGACTCCCACATGGCCGACTGTGTTTCAAGACCTGGACCTGGTGATTTGAAACTCGTGCTGGCCATGTGTGCATACTTGCCCAAGATCCCAGGAGAATGGAGAACAGAGTTTGGTGTGGCCATCCCCCGGGGGGTGATTTCTCACTTTCCCTCTTGTTGCTGTGTCTGTCCCCCGCCCTCCCTCCAAGCACACACATACTAAGGCAAAAGCTTCTACAAAAAAAAAAATATATATATATAAATAGATTTTGAAGTTAGACTCTCCTGGTACAAAGTGTGGTTCTGCCATTTATTAACTGAGTAATTTTGAACAAATTATTTATTTTTGTCTTCTGCTCATAGCTAAAAATAGGAAATAATAAAGACATTTTAAAAATGAATAGAAATCTGATGGCAGGACCACAGTGTGCTACCACCCATCTGTGGATATTCCATATGAACACACAAAACCTATCCCTAGACAGATTCTGTGCATAATAATGAAGAAACACATGATCAAATGCTGAAATCCAGGTTAGAAGAGAAAAGTAAACACCTTGAACAAGGACCCATGATAGAACAACTTAGCAAAATGTTCTTCACTACCAAGCACCATTGGTACCCTCACAGACAGTATCACAGATGTCGTAAGAAACTGGACCCTCCAGAAGATAGATGACATCAAGGTTCTCAGAGGAATCAGTACCGTGCTTCCTTTGTCATTTTAGAAAATACCATGTGGTGTATTCACTAATAGATTATGTAATAAAATAATAAAATAAAAAAATGAACAGAACAATGAAGCGAAATTAGAAAACTAAACAAAAAACCCTAAACCTTTCTTATTTGTAAATGAGAAGGATGTAGAGGAGAAGGAATAGATGGAGAAAACCCAGCTGGCCCTGATAGTTGAGTGTAGAATCTTTTTTGAGATCCATGAGCTTTAAGTATGCGATACTTTGAAGACAGTTTAGTGTAGATCGAATCCAGGCCACAGATATATTTTAATGGAATTATACTCTAAATTTTTTAATGATTGCTCCCTTTTTGAAATTAGGTGGTATTTTACGTAAATATTAAGTTAATGGATTTTAGCCCCTCCTCCCCGGAAGACTAAACATTGGGCTTACCTTTGTTCTTGGCAACAGCTAAAGCAGGGAGAACCTACACCTTTTAGACAGAGCATGCTCTTGACTTGACCAAAGTCTCTACCATTACTTTCTTCAGTCTGAGGTCAAGTGTTATATTTACCTTTTGTTGTTGCAGTGGTATTTTTTTCAGGCCTTCATTTATATTACTTGCCTGGCAGCTGTAGGAAGCAGGTTTGCCACCTCTAAAGTATTGAAGAATATAGTGATACCTGGAAGAAATTAGACTGGGATCATATATTGACTCCATTATTTTTTTATTTTAAGGTTTTTGCCATAGGACATGTGTTTGCTAGAGAGGAGATAAACGGAGAGAGAGAGAGAGAGGGAAAAATGAGAACTCACCCCTTGGGGGATAGCCACACTGCAACTCCTTCTCTTCCATTTTCCTTCTGGACTTTGGGGCATGCATGCACATGTATCTAGCATCATTTTCAAGCTGCTAGGTCCAGGATTTGAACTGCAGGCAGCCATGTGGGAGCCCAGTGCCTTGCCCACTATGCCACTTGCTGACCCCGATTCCATACTTTCTGGACATATTACTTCTTTGAGACTCAGTTTCCTTATTTCTGAAATGGGTAATAACCTTGCCTCTCTTTGTCTTTAAGGGTTGTAACACACTTGACACCTATGTTAATGCTTTTATTATTAACTCTATTGGGTTATTGGAAAAGTCATGACGTATTTTTCTATATTTTTCTATGTAAAACTGCATCATGACTTTTCTAACCACCAAATAGTAAAAGCTCAGTAAATATTAGCTATTATTATCAAAACCACTGTTGTCATCATCACCTATAGATTATAAAAGGTATTCCTTTATTATGCTATTATGATAATAACTAGCACATAGAAAAATCTTTGCTTTCAAAATTATCTTTTTATAATTTGTTTTAAAAATATATTACTGCTATCCATTTTTATGTAATCTTGAAAATAAATTATTTCTAGGGTTCTGTTAGAGTCTCGTAGAAAATCTAAGAAGATCACAGCCAGAGGAATCTTTGCAGGTGCCAGAGTGGTACGAGGTGTGGACTGGCAGTGGGAAGATCAAGATGGAGGAAATGGACGCAGAGGAAAGGTATACTCCTTTTCTTAATTCATCATGTATTGCAGAATATCGTATGATGGGAAGATTTTTATTACTACTGTAAGTGTTTCTTGGCCTGTTTTTTCCTATTCCAGTAAGTTTTTTTTTAGGTTTGCTGTAAGAATGCATGTGCTCACTTGAGAGACACAGAGAAAGAGAAAAGAGAGAGAAGGAAAGTGAGAAATCATCCTCCAAAGAGGAATGTCCATGCTGCAATTCCTTCTCTTCTTGGGATTTTGGGCATGCCCACCCATGCACCTGGCATGTTTTTCAAACAGGTCTCAACTTGCATTGTCAGCCTTGTGGAATCCAGCTGCCTTGACCTCCATGCTGTCCCTGAATTGACTTTTTTTAGATTTTGTTCCCCCAAAGACCTATTTTAATGAGCAATAAGGAGCTATTGGGTTATTGCACACATTTAACTCTGTAAGGTGGAGGACTGTCTAGGGGTTAGTTGTAGCAGTTATTTTGAAGGGGATTTTGAACAGACTGTTTAGTTGGGGGTGAAATACTAGAGATATTTGGGTAAATGGGTTGTTGGTTGTGTTTATTTTAGGTTTCATGCTGCTTTGGCTGATCATTCATCGATTCTGTCAGTCAATAAATATTGAGTGTGTCGCTTTGTGTTATGAGTAACTGACTTTACAGTTGAGACTTAGATGCTCTTGGGAACAGCTGAAGCTGATGAGTACCTGCAACTCTTCAGACAGATCATGCTGTTGAGTTGACCAAAGTCTCTGTCATCTTTTTGAAAAAATTGTCTTCAGCATTGAAGAATACTGATTTTAAAGTTTTTGTCATCTGAGAAACTTTACAGGAACTCGAAAGCCTCTTTTGTGTAGACTTGGTGCTGTGCAGATTCCTTTGAATTTAGAATTTTGAAATATTTTTCCAAGGGCCAATAGGTAGCATGGTAGTTAAGGTGCTGGACTCCCACAAAGCTGACCACATTTCGAGTCCTGAACCTGGCCGCTTAAACGTCATGCGGGGTATGTGTGCATACATGCCCAAAATCATTAGGAGAGTGGAGGAGAAGGAATTGTGATATGGCCGTCCCCCACAGTGTGATTTCTCACTTTCCATTTTTCTGTCTCCAGTGAGCACACACACTCTATGGCAAAAACTTTAAAAAAATGAAAAAAAATTTCCAAATATCTTTTTAAATTCAGAGTATTGTTATTATGTTGATTTCTTTTAAATAAGGTATATAATTTTAATATTTGGTAGTTAGATGTATTTTAGCCATTATATTTTTTTACATTTTTATACTGTGTCACAGTTCTTTTGGTCAGACTCCTAAGTAGGTGAGACTGTGGTTCTGTACCAGTATGCCCTTAGCCATTATACACATTTATTTTATTTTTTAAAAGTTACTTATTTACTGGGCTAGCCCCATGGCACAGAGATTAAGCTCTGTGTGTAGGAAGCTGGATCTCAAATGGCTGAACATGCCTTGAATCCTCGCCATGGCTGCTTGAAAACCACTGATTGCATGCATGTTTGTGCCTCAAATCCTAATGGGATGGATAGATGGAGGAATGGGATTATGATGTGACCAAGCTCCATAGGGGGGTGCTTTCTTTCTCTCTTTGTCTTTGATGAGTGCACGGCTCCTCTGGCAATTAAAAGAAGTTATTTATGTAGTTCATGAGAGTTTGCTGTAAGTGTGATAAATAATAGATCCTCTTCTCATACGTCGTACATGAGGACCTGCATTTTAGTAAGGTCCTTAGATTATGTGTATATATATTATGTTTTCTTTACAGCTAGTGTTGGGATTTAATTTTTGAAAAATTAAGTAGGAAGCACAAACCTAGCTGTAGTAAGTACAGGGCAGAGTTGCTGCTTTTAGATGAAGGTTCCCAGGAGACTATAAACTGAATAGTGTCTCTGAGTAGTTATCTTGCTTCAACATCGCTCAGTTTATGAGTTTTTCTGGAGCAGTCAGTGGACAAAGTCATTTGTAAGTTCTGGGGACATAGGGCTCAACACACTCAGGATATCAGATGTCAGGCATGGGGCCAGGTGCTGAGCGTGGGAAGGAATGTGGTGAGAGGAGCTGAGTTACTATGTCTTTTGCTTCTAAGCTTACCATAGCCCACGTTAGAGTTTTAGGATTAGGCTAGGCCAAAATAGAATATTCTGTGAGTTGAGATGGAAACTCAGCTGATCCAGGTGCAGAGGAGAATGGGAACATCATTAGTACATAGTCTATATGAGTCAGGTATGCTTAAATGGGTCAGGATCATTAGGGCAGCTTGTCTTCAGGTGAGTAAAATAAATGGTGCAGTGGCAGTGGGGGTCTTCGTGGTAAGGGCCTTCAACTTTTCTGGTGCACTAGTCACCTGGCTGCCATCTGGATGGGCCATGCCGCATGCATATTAGTCATCATGGGAGCTCCTTTCACGTCTTGCAGTGGATGCCTTTGCCTCTTTCTTGGATGGATGTTTTCTGTTTCCCATTGTGACATTTTACTTAGCTTATTCTCTTTGTTTTTTGTAGAATACACATTCTAATAACATCTTTTGAAAGAGTACATGAGAAGTGAAGTTTTAGGTACTTTCAGAAGAAGTAAACCTTTTATTTTTTCTTTTTAAGTTTTGTTATAGGGTGCATGCACTCACCAGAGAGAGGCAGTGATGGGGGCGGGGGTGAAGTAGAGAGAGAGAGAGATCGAGATCAACCCCTCCAACCCGTGGGGGGATGACCATACTGTAGTCCCGTCTTCATTCTCCTGTCAGGATTTTTTTTTTTTTTTTTGCTGTAACGCATGTGCTCACCAGAAAGACAGAGAGATAGAGAGATAGAAAGCGAGAAATCACCCCCCAGGGGGGATGGCCATGCTGCAATCCATTCTCCTCTTGGGATCTTGGGCATGCATGTACATGCGCCCAGTGTGAGTTTAAGCCACTGGGTCCAGGACTCGAACTGCGGTTGACTACGTGGGAGTCCAGCGACATAGCCATTACGCTAACTGCTGGTCTCATCTTATCAGGATTTTTGACATGCATGTACATGTGTCCTACATGAATTTTAAGCTTCTGGGTCCAGGACTTGAACTACATAGTTGACCATGTGGCATCCCACCTCCTTAATGTCCATACGACCTGTTGGCTCTATAAATTTTTAATATTTTAGAGTGATTTTTTTTTTCCGCTGTAGAGCGTGTGCACTCGCCAGACAGACAGACAGAGACATAGAGACAGAATGTGAGAAAGCACCCCCCCAGGGGGGATGGTCACGCCACAATCCCTTCTCCTCCATTCTCCTCTCGGGATCTTGGGCACGCACGCACAGGCTCCCGGCGTGAGTTTTAAGCCACCGGGTCCGGGATGCGAACCGCGGTCAACTACGTGGGAGTCCAGCGACATAGCTATTAAGCTAACTGCTGGTTCCCAGTTTTTAATATTTTAATCTAACAATGGACTTTATAGTCTTCCCATTCTTAATACTTTTATGACCAGAATGTTGGAAGTTATTTTCCATTAGATTTAATCTAAAAAGTCTGAAGCCACATAAGTTGAACTTTCTTGGGTTTTGCTATTTTGGCACCTTTGCAGGGGATAGAATGAATGTAGGCATTCTTGAGGCTTTGAGTCATCAGTATTATGTTTTTGGCTTGTGATTTAACATGTGTTACATTTTAAGAACAAAATGAGGAAAAATAAATGGAAACCATCTTATACACGTGACTGAAGGAACTTCTTATAATAAGTTTTCAAGGTAACATTGTTTAAACTAATGTTTAAGACCAATGGTTGTTTCCCTTTCTCATGTTTTTGCCTATGTGTGTGAAGGAAGAAAGTTATTATCCTTCTTTTCCTTTCAGTGCTAGCTGCACTATCCCAATACCGTGTCGTAACCCATATTAGTTATGTGCGTTGTATTTTATTTTTATTGTTTTGAGATTCATTTATCTCCTTTATACGGGGGTGAGGGGAGAGAGAAAGAAAAAGAGAGAGAAGGAAAGGAAGGAATGAAGAAAGAGATGCACCCTTAGCAGGGTTTCATGCTGCAGTCCTCCCCCCAGGCCTCCTAACAAGCCAGCATTATGGGCACGAATGCCCAGTATGTACAGGTTAACCCAGGAACCAAACCCTGATCTTTGTGGCTTGGTACATCTACACCACTGCAACTTGCCTTTAAAAGATTTCCTAAGTACTGTTAACATGTTAGTATTTTTGTTTAAGGTTTCTGCCATAGAGTGTGTGTGCTTGCCAGAGAGAGACAACAGGAAAGTGAGAATCATCCCAGGGAGCATGGCCATGCTACGGTCCCTACTCCTCCATTCTCTTCTTGGGATTTTGGGCATTCATGTACATGCTTCCAATGTGATTTTCAAGCTGCCAGGTCTGGGACTTGAACCACAGTCATCCATGTGGGAGTCCAGCACCTTAACTGTCATGCACTGGCTAGACCCCCATATTAGTATTTTGAGTCTGTTTTTATTTTACAAACACTTCTGAATATGTCAGTTGTGGGACCAGCAGTTAGTATAATGGCTGTGTCGCTGGACTCCTGTGTAGTTGGCCGTTGTTTGAGTACCAGACCCGATGGCTTAAATTCACGCCGGGCGTGTGTGCGTGTGTGCCCAGGATCCCGAGAGGAGAATGGAGGAGAAGGGATTACAGTGTGACCATCCCCCCGGGGGGTGATTTCCCACTTTCTGTCTCTATGTCTCTCTCTGTCTTTCTGGTGAGCACACGTGCCCTATAGCAAAAAACCTCTCCAAAAAAAAAGAAAAAAAATATGTCAGTTGTTTCATATAGGTACACCAGGTCATATTTCTTTCTTTTTAAAAATATTTTTTACTGTGGAAAATTCAATTATATACTAGAATATAAAGAGTAGTATAAAAAGTTACCGTGTAACTGTCACCCAGGTTCAGCAATTATCAACTTAAAAATCATTTATTAGTTGAAGAAACCAGGTTCTTTAGATTTGGTCAGTTGAGTATTTTTTATTATTTTTTTAAAGAATTATTTAATTAA